GCAGCCCATGGAATCATCAGATATAAGTTGAGTTGGGGTCACAGTGATAACCGTTGGTCCAGTTATTTTTTTACCCCCCTGTAAATTCATCACCCACATTGTGGAAGGGTCTAGCGGAGCCGTTCCGCTCAACGCTGTGGAGTCAGCGGACCCCTTGCATGGGGACAATACGTGCAACGCGTGACCTCACTGCGTCAATGAGGGGGCTGGACGTGTCGCCCTGAGCCGTCCAACAAACCTCCCCTCCCCCTCCCCTCCTCTCGGCTGCGGCTGCTGTGGAGGTAGTAGTGGGCTGCCGCCGCTGCTGCGGTGGCTGTGGGGGTAGTAGTAGTGGTAATCCTACTGCTGCCACTGCGGCCGCTGCATCAGAGACGTCTGTGACGTCACTGCGGTAGTGGTGGCTGTCTGCTACTACATCCACAGTTACTACAGCTTCTAGCTAACTAGGTGTAGGAAATCAAGTAAAATGTCAGATGTAGTGATTTTCTTTTCTTTATTGTTTCAAATCATTTACATTATAAGAGTAAGTCTTCCTCAAGTAGCCGGCTTGTTTCTGCTGGTGACTTGGGGCTAATCTGGATACCTGAAAAAGAATGAAAAAAATCTATAAGTTAAATTCAAATTATCATCTCAGAGTTCAACTCAAACATTTTCTGGTCCATATGTATCACTGTGATGCCAACTCATCGAATGAAATTCTATGTTACAGGTGGCCAGCTTCAAGTCCAGGCACATCCCTTTGACAAGAACCAGCATCACTTCCTATTTTACTATGACTGTACCATACAAATGAAATAAATAGCAGCATTACTGTAAGTGACATACTGATTTTCCTTTTCCACTTTCCTCCACTACAATCAACACACTACTACATAATTTAGGATCAAGTAATAAGCCGTACATATGGAGGTAGCATAGAGACAGTAAAGATATGACAAGAGACTCCCCAATAGAAACAGATACCAAAATAAACTTTTAACCAACATGACTTTAACATTACATAAAAAGACAAAACTTACCAGATTTATTCCTGTGATGACAAGAAAAAAGGGCCATTTCTCATGCTGTGTGCTGTGACGCCAATTCAGCATACATCAGGTGACACATAGGCTGCTTAGCTGACGTTGAGCACAGATGGAACAATTGGAAAGTCTTCCTGCAACAAGGTAAAAACAGAATTTTGATCCACATGTATAATGGTGACACCAACTCCTCTCTGGACTCCTTACAGTTTCGGATAGCTGCATAACATTAACATGCCATGCTTCAAAAGCATTGCCAAGGACAAACAATGTCAACAATGTGACAAACTGAAATATTTCTGCCTGTCTTTGAGCAGAAAAAAACGCAAAATCAGAAAGAGAAAAGAAAAAAAGGTCTGAATAAAAACACATTATAATAAATATTTGTAAGATTTCATGAAAATAAATAAATAAAAATAGTTGTAAGCCTTCAATTCTTCCAATAGACCTTAGATGCCATTAAGAGGTAGTATTTCTGGCTGGGAGTGCAGCAAAAAGGTTTAAAACATAAGGGATTAGAAAGGCTTCAATTTTTTTTTCCTGATAACTCTTTAGCGTCTACAGAAAATTAGAATCCCACGTGAAAAACAAGACAATTTTGGGTACTGTATCCAAGGTTAAAACCAGAAGTCAGAAAATACGTTTTGCTGTTCCACAAGAATAATACAGAGTAAAATACATGATATATATATATGATAATATGATGAAACACTGCAGTGACAGTTCGCCCATTTGCAAATGACCTACAACAGCATTAAACATACTGCATCAAAGGGAGGAGTGTACCCATTCAACACATTTTCAACAAAGCTTACAGTGAGCCAAATTTATATAATGGACATTAAAATACTCTGCTTTCCAAAACAACTTACAACCTGTGTTTAGAAACGGAGCGACTGGAGCACTAACCTCCTACAATAACCGAACACAATCATTCAATATTCCGGAACCATCAAGCATTATCGCTTGCGATTAATAACAAAAATCGACACCCTAAAATTCTGATTAGAATCCTGTGATTAATTTGGGTAGGCATTATCGGTATAGAGCAGAAGACGACGATTTTCACTGTTCACTTACGTTTCCATGAAGGCGCGCTGATCGCTAGATGCAACATGTGGCCGCGGAGCGCAGTTGGGAGAGATGGAGTCCTGCCGCCGGGGTAGGCAATCCCGCCTCGCTTGTCTGGGATGTGATCCTTTAGGGCTTGAAGTCCAAGTTTGGGGCAACCAACCAGTGAATCGGGTGGCTGACTGGCTATGGCTGCAGGGGGCAAAAACAGGGAAGTGTTGTGTGTGTTTTTCTAACCCATAGTCCCTAGTGATTGAATTGCACTAGGTGTGGTGTGGCTTATTGAGTGAAAATAGGAGTTGGGACATGATCTTTAACAGTGTTGCACAGCAGTGTAGTAGATGAGATTAAATAACAAATATTAGAGCTTTATTGAAGAATATACAATCTAAATATTTGTACACATTTATAAAAGTAACATGTACATAGTCTTAATTATAAAACATCACACAAAATGAGCAACACAGGTTTATTTCTTTTTTTGTTTGTTTAAGTTCTTTCTATTTCTCTAAAATTGCAGCTGTATGCAACTGTACACTGTCATTTTGAGATCACGCATAACAGCTTTTTTTAAAAATGAAATTCAAATTAAAACCTGGCTAGATGTATCACAAATTACACTTGTGCTTTTAACACAAGCAGTTTATTTAACCTCACTGCTGCAGTTCACTGATATGTACCTCACCTTGTTTGACATTTCTATTACACTTAAGAAGCAATTGCTGAGTTTCATTGGGAAAAAAAGATTTTGACAATGAAAGTAATGTCATAAAAAATTACCCCAAAAGCCACCTGGGAAACTTGCACACAAATATATATGTTGTTCCCAACAATGTAAGAAGTTTCAATTCAAACGAAAGGATCAAGAAAATAAATAAAATACATTTCAAATTTGGCTCAACTTTTCCAGTTTTTAAAAGTTAAATGGAGTAGGTGGAGTATTACTTGCTAAGGGCAACCAAATATTGATTGGTTAAACTTTGGCTTGAGGGGATGATTTGTCAAACAGCCCTACAGGTTTATGAGTGAAAGCAGCAGGAGGGTCTCTCTCAGGCAGGTAGAAGATCAAAATCATCACTGACATGGACCATGGGGACAGGAGGACAATCTTCACAGGGCCCCACTTCCTTCATCTTCCAATCCCAATCCATTCGTTGGACAGCATGCAGGGATTCCGCTTCATTGTGGTGCCTCAGCAGCATTGATTCCTACACACACAGGACAGGAGCACGGTAAGCAAATGCATTTACTGCAAATCAGTTTGATTTGACAACTTGATGACATTTTACCTTGATTTTCTCCCATTTGTCATCAACATCTTGCAGCCAGCTTAGGAAAAGTCGGCCATTGTAACGGGATCTGGCATTCCTATCTTTTTCTTCTTGTTCTGGGGTGATAACATTATAAACCTCCTCATCTTTAAGTATAGAGCAGGCTGAGAAAGGTAAAGCTTGATTTGCTAAAGCTCGTGCAGCCCTGCCATGAACTCTTAAAATTTCTTGTTCAACTGAAAGAACTAATTTTTCTTTTTCAATTATATGCTGTTAAATGAACAAGAAAACATTACAAACATTGTTAAAAATTCAAATTCACTATTTTTGTAAAGCAATACTAAGTATGAATGACATACCTGCATTTTTAACTTTTGCCTTTCTTTTTCTTGATCAACAAACAAGTCTCTTAAACCTCCAATCAATGAAGCTGGTGGGGAGTTTGGTGCTGCAATACGTGTTGAAGCATTACTTGTTAGAACATAAGTGCATCTGTTCATCAGATAGTCTTTGAAACCCTGTGGCGGTTTAGGCTGGACAGGAAAGAGGTTTTTCCGTCTTCGTTCAATCTGAAATAAGTAAAAAGTTGCAAATAATGTAAAAATACACAACAAATGAATTCATAATGTTACTTCCCAACCCCAACATACCTGTTTTCTAATATTCAAAAATAGTTGGTAGCAATTTGTTATAGGCTGTTCATGAGGATGTACTTCAGTTGATGTGTAAGGTGGCTCAGTGCTCTCACTGTTGCCAGTGCTAGGAGCAGGTGCAGGAGGTTGCTCACGATGAGGTTTTAACTTTCGTTTTCGTGGATGTAATTCCATAGAGGACGTCTGTGTTGCAGGAGTTGGGGTAGACTGAGGTGGAAGAGTACTAGCTTCTGTTTGCCCTGGCTTTTCATCAGCAACCACATTTGCTGGTGCTATGGACGTTGTTGAGGACTTCCCAGGGGAAGGAGCAGATGTTGTTTCAGGCACACTAGAGGCAGCATTTTCAACTGGAGCAGGTGATTGCTGCCTTGATTGTTGAGGCGATGTATCTTCACCACCAACCGACCCAGCAGTAGGCGATGAGCTTCTGCTACCAGAAGGATTGGCACCTCCGTTGCCAGACCTATTTGAACTTCTAAGAACCCGTTGGTGATTAAGTGCACTACGTTGATCCTCCGTTAAAGTACTATCCTTTTTATCAAGAGAGTCAGTAGGGCTCGCTGAGCCAGATCCTCCACCTTCCTTTTCAGGCACAGAATCATTACTATTAGAAGATGCTACAACATAAGGTAAAGCTTGATGATGTCTTGAATTTCCATTCTTCCCAACTCTGGTACCGGGCTCAGGTTCTAACGCTGCACTTTGCTGAGGTATCACAATCTTTAAGGGAGGTACTTTGGGACCAATAGTTTCACTCCCACCTTTCCCTCCCAAAGTATCTTCTGAATCACCCTCAACAGATTTACTGCCAGAAGATGACACAGCACTCCCTGATGTTGTAGGCTTGGGACTGTTGGAACCTGAGGATGTTCCACTTTTAAGTTCAGGGTTTTTTTCCTGGTTTGAGTTTGGTTTCCCAGCTAAGTTACTTGAAACTTTGCCTGGTACTGGCTTGCTTTTATCACTATTAGCGCTTCCATTTCTCCCATTGGCAGATCTACTAGGTGTTGAGTTCCTGGTATTTTCTTTTGAAGGATTTTCGGTTTCTTTCCTTTTCTTTCTTCTAGTTTCTTCATCACCTTCATCCCCATCCACCATTTCTGTGGCATTTCTTTTTCCACCAGCGTGTGGAGGCTCACCAGCAGCATCGGGTTTAGAATCACGTTCTTTGTTGTCACTTGGATTGGTGGATTCATTCATCTTGCTGGAGGGTTCTGGTGACGCACTCGCACCTCGAACAGGAGTGGCCTCTTTGCTGCTTTTAAATTCATACACGTCTTCACCGCTACCTTTCCCTTCCATATTCCCACTCAGCTGAGATCTAAATAAAAAAAAACAGACAAGAAAAGAGAATGTGAACAAGCAGATTTCAAACATAAAAAATAAAACACACACAAAAAAAAACAAATTATGATAAAACAGATTGATGTATAAATTATATACTTTGAACTGACCTGTTGTTAGAAAGAGATTCTCGCTCTGTTGGCTTACTAGCAGCTTTTCTGTCATCCCTTGTTTTTAAGTGATGAAGCCTAAGGGTTACGCGAGGAGAGGCAGGCTTCTCAACAGCTAGATGGGGAAGGAAAAAAAGGAAAAATATTAAAAGATGGAAAATAAAAAAATACCAGTTTATTTAAAGTAAGATACAACTACAACTAAAATTAAAACCTATAATAAAGAAGGTTACACAACATACATTAATGTCTACCTAAGAATTAAAATAACTATGCGAGTAGTTGGTAATAAATGGTAAATGTCGAGAGAACGCATGCATCCAGGCTGTGACCTATGCTGCGCCTATAAATGGCAAGCATTTGATAGTGCACTGAAGTACATGTTTTACTCATTATACAAGGGGTCACTGCTCCGGGCCAACGCAAACATAACCTTAAAGTATCATGACGATCGAGAAAGGATTAAAGCCACTACGTGTATTTATCCGGCTCCATTTATTTCTTTTGAAAACCACCTTTCCGATACGATTAAAAAATCGATCCAGGTAAACAAAGCAGAAGAAACAAGTGCCCCCCTCTTCCCTCCCCAACACATTTCGGGTCGAGTTCAAGGCTATTTCAGGTCACAAGCCACGATCTACGTTATTCTCGTTTCGCACTGCACAACATTCACCTTTCACACCCTGATCAACCGGGGGCGGGAATAGGCGTCGGGAAAGTATGCAACACGACAAAAAAATTCACTGTTCGCTTGATGTGTTTTTGTATATGATTTACACGAATTCAATGCAAGTCGGACGGGAGTAAAGAAGAGCGAGAGAGAGAGAAACGCTTGGACGGAGACGAACCAGCGGAGGAGGGGGAGGTTGAGGAGGAGAAGGGGGAGGGGAGGGAGGTCGGAACGAACGGACAAACGAGTCCGCAGCAAAGAGAAGAGGAGAAGGGAAAGGCCAGAACACACCTGCCCAGTGAGTTCCGAGCAGCGCCGCCAGATGGGGCTCAGGGGCAGTCCGAGCGGGACCCGCTCTCAGCGTGGGGTAGTGACTCGGGGAGATGGAGGAGAAAACCAGGGTGGTGATGCAAGGTGCACGCCAAGTCCATCGCCATCCTCGTCCTCACCTTTGTTCTGAGGTGGTGCCCTCCGCATCTCAGCGGGGGCTCCCCGAGCCGACGCGGCGCCGGACGCGGTGCTGTTCCTCCGGGTCGGCGGCGTCCTGGGCAGGACCAGCGCCCTGGCCGCGCCCCTCGACACGGACGTCGTGCTGCCGTCTGTCGCCCGGTCCGAGCGGTCCGCGGCGCCTTCCGCGTCGTCCTCGTCCGAGCGCAGGAGGTCCGAGTCGGAGTCGCTCGAGAAGGGGTTGGTGTCTGAAACAGAAAAGAGGGGAGGGTCAACGACGGGAACATCAACATCAACCGATTTGAAGCCGACACTCTGATGCAAAGAAATCTAAAGGCTTAGTAGGCAACAAACATTGCAGTAACGAAGCATGGCTTGTTAGCTCGTATGCACGATGGGTCATCATAGTGAAACACATTCTCGATATGCACGACCGGTCAATCTAAGAGCAGGCAGGCAACGCGTCCGACTCAAACCCCCGCCTCTGGCAACTCTCTCGCTTCATACAGGGCCCTCGCACGACAGCTCGTAGTCCAGCACGGCACAGCGATAACTGGAGCAACCCATTAGCACTCGGGTATGACGGTATGACCACTGCCATGCGATGTCTACCGATGACGGACCGACCGAGAGGGCTGCTGCAGGGGCAGGGGCCTCCAGGGCACTCCGTGGTACTCCAGGGTTTTCCAGGCGAGTCTCCAGGCCCTCGGGCCCTGGTCCAGCGCAGCGCCGCTGACCTAGAGGACCGGATCGGGCCGTCCATCCAAGGACAAGGCGGCGATCTGCTTCTGGGGCGAGCAGGGGGGGGG